ATATATATTATACTTACCATTTATTATGTTGAGTGTGACCGTCGCACTGGGACTGTTTGACGGGCTACAAGTGTAATTGCCAGTGTCGCGCTTCTTGGCCGACTCGATGATTAATGAGCCGATCTGAGTATGGTACGCGATTTCAGGAAGAGAAATAGAAATGTAGAAATGTAAATTTGTGTACAATAAATGTATTTATGCAAGGCAAAGAGCTCCCTGGCGTGGAAGCTGGAGATAAATCGCAATTGAAATGTCAGGTCTGAGCAACGCTTATGACGAGCTCGGCGACACGTTGGCTAAATATTTAACGAGTCTGCGAGTCACGTCTGCCAGGAGGTCAGCTCTAATTTGCAGCATTTCAACGACATTTGCCTTTAAGACGGCTTTGGGGCGTGGCTGGCATGTGACATAAATGCGAGCAGTGTGAAGTAATATTGTAATTTCGCTGATGCGGAACGCCGAAGGACGTGGCCACGTGGCCAAAACACGGAATGCGGAACACGGAACACGGAAGATGGTAGACAGAAGACGGGCAACGAAATTTGAAATCAAGTGTAATTAAATTAAAATCAACAAGGGAACAATTGATGGAACTCACCGTGCTCTGCCCTTCGCCGCTGGCCTCTGGCAGATTCGGGTCCAATTGCGTGCGATGGCGTCGTGAATCGGCGGCCAGCTGCTCGGTGCCGTGGTACCACATGATGAACGTCGGCGGCTCCAAGGCGCCGCGCACAATGCAGCGCAGGACGACATTGCTGCCAGCTTTGACATAGCGATCCGGTTCGCCGAGTATTTCGGTTCGAGGAACTGTAACAAATACCAAACGCCATCAGACATACAATGACAATAATGAGCACGATGCTGATGATGCTGCTGCTGAAGATGATGACGGTGCTCATTACGAGTGAAACTCAATGGCAAACACGGCGCGTGCCTGTATGAAATTGTGACATTGGCGCTAATCTATTGAATTAACAGCTGCTAGTCACGTCGCACACGTAAATCTGCGCACCTTCGCGTTTCATGCAGTCAGTGGCAGGGGCAGAGGCAGGGGGCGGGGGCAGGGGGCGTAGCTTGCGCTGTGCCGAATTCACTTTTCAATTTTTCACTTACTGCTGCCATCAGTTACCCCCACACACACACACACACACGCACACACACTCATAAGGGAGAGGCACGCACATGCATAACAAACTATGCCGCTGTCTGTGGCAAGTTGTGTCAAAAAGCGAGTTCCAATGCTATAAAAAATACATGGACGCAAGTTCAAATTATTGCCCCACACACACACACACACACACATTTGCACATCACACGCGCTGTTTCTTGTAGACTGCTACCGCCCCGCCCCGCCCCGCGACCGACCATGCTCAACTGGCTGGCCAACGGCGACGTGCGCTAGCGAATTCGACAAAATCACGTATACGCCGGGTTTACACTGCTGTTAGACACACAAAACTGCGCAAATTGAATGTGCCGAGAATTCGCACAACATTCTGTCTACTCGCATGCATGTGCCAGCATATGTGCATGCGTATGCGTATGAGTATGTGTGTGAAGCCTCTTTGCCTTTGGTTTGACACCAAACTGTGTCAGCCTGTCAAAATTGTCGCGCTGTGCATGTTGGTTTTCCAGTTGCTTGACTGTGGCTGCGCGTCGCAGCTAAAAGGATATGCAATATTATTAGCCACAGTCCCTTGGCCCAACCACAAAGAATTTCACTCTGCATTTTTATTTGAAAAACTAAATAAAACAAAATAAATATATAAATATATTTATGTACAAATTTCTATGCAGAAATTGCATAGCATAGGCTGAGTAGAGATTTAAAATCTGAAGTTAGTTTAGGCTTTAAATATTAATCAGCTAAACTAAAATATTTGCATAGTCCAGTTAACAGATTTTAATTCAATCAACCACAGACTTTTCTCATAATTGAGAAAGAGCACAGAGCATAAGAGATTATAAATAATTTATGAATAAAAATCAATCAGAAAAGATGATGGAGTATTAAACTTTCTAGATAAAAACAAAATCAAATTTGTATTAAAAAGAAAAAAAAATCCATTTGGAAGTTTGGAAAATCAAGATACAGCATACAGTAAAATTCTATTTCAAGGTCTCAAAAAAGAGATAGAGAGAGAGAGAAAAAAAAAACAGAATGAAAAATTCTATGCGATAAACCGCTATCAAAACGTTGTTCCTTATAAGAATGGGCTTCGTTTAAGTTAATTATGGAAGTATTCAGATTGGGGATTAGCTAAGCGATAAGCGCCAGGAAAGCCACGAAACCACAGAGAAGAAGAACAGGGAAAAAGAGAAGAAAACTTTCACAATTTGAGCTAATTTTCAGCTGAGCAAAAAGAAAGAAATTCGTGCGGGGGAAGGAGAGGGGTGGGTCGTGGCATAGTGTGAAACGAATTACAGCAACTTAAATTAATTGGGTTTATTGCCAAATGCTTTTAGGGAAATTAGTTAAGTTTGAAATGTGCAGCCCGGCTATGTGCAGAGGCAGCCGCTGGCCGTAAGCATTACGGCGGAATTGTCACTCTTGATGGCGAGATAAAAACCAAAAGCGTCAAAAGCAAAAACAGTTGACATCCAGGCCCACAAAGCATCGGCTTTGAACATATAAGATTAGCAGCAAATTAAATAAGCGCCCGAACAGAGCCAAATTCCCTCTGTAAATGAATGGGAGGCGGCGCTGGCAGCCCAGCGAGATGAGCAGAAAACAAATCTCATAAAACCAAATCTAGTTTGTCGTTCAATGATGCAGAAAAAAATAAATTCATTCATTTCGAATGGCTGTGTGCGTGAGTGTGTGTGCGGGTGCGTGTATTAACGCACAATGGGCCGAAATTGAATTTTGTGTGTGAAAAGCTTTTTGGTGTATTTGGAAAGATTAGATGGATGCGAGGAGATATGTATATTTGAAATGTGCAAAACTAAAACAAATACCAGCAGCTGTTCCATTTTGAGAGAGTTCCATGATTTAACACCTTTCATAGATGTTCGATAGAACATTCGATAAATCGTGTAACCGCAGAGGTTTCTATTTTTTGGTCATTGTGCTGCTGAAACATCAGCCAAATGAGCCGAAGCCAAAGAAACTGACAGTTTAACCAATAAGGAAAAAAAAAAAACAAATTTACACACATACACACACACACAAACACACATTGGCATAACAAATTGACCGAAAACTACGATCCCATTACCCCAACGAGCCAACGGCCAAGAGGGCTCAGAAATCAAGCATCAGGCGAAAAGCAAACGGAGCCAAGCATAAAATACATTGGCAATTGGGGCACAGCAAAAGAGAGAGAGAGAGAGAGAGAGAGACAGAGGGGGGGGGGGGCGGGAGGTTCGCAAATCGACAACATGCAAAGGGAGTTTTAGTCGTTTGCACAGACAAAACGATGCAATAAATACAAATTACATGGCAAGGCACAAAATCAAAAAACGAGCAGAGCCACAAAGCGAGCAACTAGAGGAAAAACTGAGGAAGCATTGAGCAGCCACTAGGCAACTAGGTGCTGCCGATAATGGTTATGGCTGATGAGAGAAAATGAGACGGAGCTGAGGAAAGGGCGAGCCATAGAGGAGAGCAGCCAACAGCAGCCAGACAAAGCCAGCACTGTGCCAAATGACTGCAAATAATGGACCGCTGCCCGGTTTCTGGGGCCAAACTAGAAAAAAATGGCTGAAGCCTGCAGCTGTGATTCCCGCTCTATCCCTTGCCCCTGACCCTGCCCTGGGCCACATCCATTGTGTGTGGCACGCATAGAAATCCTTTATGCGTTCAACTTGTCGTTAGATTAACGCAAAATGTGGCCGCGCATACATAATTTACACCCGCTGCTCACCACAACTCCTTCCCTCGGCACCCCGCTGCCACGCCCCTCACCAAACCATGGAGCAGCTGTCCGACAGGCCTTGTCCAACGGTTGCCGAAACGCTGAAATACCTGTTGGACGCTGCTGTTACCTTACAGTAACGTCCCGTTGTTAGTCACACTACCGTACACACACACAGACACACACGCGGGAATATACACAATGGGGAACAAGTGCTTAGCATACAAATTAGCTCAACCGGAAATGCGAAAATCACTTTTGGCAGCGCATTATCGAGTCTGCTCTGAGCATCCTTTGCGCTCGCCATATCCTTGCGGATTTTTCTATTGGGTTTGATTAGTTTTTGCTCGTTATCTTGTTTCACGCAAAAGTTAAAGTGTTTTGTATAAAATTATAATCAACTCGGCTATTAGCAAGGAAACTACATTTCGTTTTTTTTCGACTTTACTTCCCAAAGCTATATGCATAAATTAGGACTGTAAATGGAATAAAATAGAATCAGAACAGAAAAATTCGAATGATTGCAAATCTGTGTAGTAATATATCACATAGAGGTATTAGGTCTTTTAATTGATTTCCAAGTTTCCTTTCAAAAAATTATTCTAATTTTCCCCAGCTGCAGCTTTTCTGTGTTTTCTTTTAAATAGATTCAGCACTTAAAACTTGTGCACAAACTTTCATCCATTCAGCTTGTGTTCAAAGCATTTATTATCAATTACAAGTGAGCAATACACAGGCTCGCTTCCAATTTTATTTAACCCCAAAGGCGCCTACACACTGGTCATTTGTGAGTTAGTTTATGTGTGCGGTGTGCCTCGGTCTGTGTGTGGGTCTGTGTGTGTGAGTGTTTTGTGTGAGCAAACATGAAATTTAATTAACTTTTTTAGACTGTGCCTTAAGTGTGCCTTCATGTGTGTGTGTGTGTGTGTGTGTTTGTGTGTGCTTAACAAACCCAAGAAGTGAAGCTCACACAAAAGTTTTCTCGTTAAAAAACTTGGTCAAAAATTGCTCTGGTCAAAAAAGAGTTTTCAATGGAAATGCAGCAGGCACCGCAATTTGAATGCAATTTTGTGAGCAATTGCGAATGCAGCAGCCGCATGAAAGATGCAAAGATCTCCAGGCAAGTGTGTGTGTGTGTGTGTGACCCATTGACCCCCAGCCACACGTACGCCCCCTGCTGAGCAGCTCTTTTTCGGCTGTCTGTCTGTGTTCCTGTTCAGTTGTGCATAACGTCGCCCTGGGCCAAGGTTCAGCCACAAAACTTTTCCCCACATTTATGTGTATTTGTATATTATATATGTATATAAGCTATATGTATGTATGTAGTAAATGTATGCCTGCTTGCTGCCGCTGCTTGACCTTCTGTATAATGCCTTAATTGCATGCGCTCAATATGCTCTGGCTCGCAGCAGCCCAAGGACTAGTTCTAGGCTCGGGCTCCTGCCCATGTCCGTGTCTGTGTCTGTGTCCATGTCCTTGCCCAAGGACGTCGCCACTTACCAACAACTTGCAGCTGCACGCGCGCGCTCACTTTCGGCTCGGTCGAGACCTGGCACTCGTAGGTGCCCGCATCCCGCGCCTGCACATATTTGATTTGCAGCGTCCAGTATTTATCCGGCTGCTTGAGGGCGAGGAAGCGCTGATCCGCAATGAACACGGCTCTGCAATGGAGTGAGATATGTAAATGAGTTAATATATCTATCTCGTTACATGTAAATATTATTCCAATACAATTAGCAAGCAATGTTTATCGCTGCAGCTGGTATCGATCTATCAGCTTCACAACAATTAGAGGCAGCTGCCGCCCCCACAGTATCAAAAAATGTCACTAGGAGCTTAAACGAATCCTCTGGCTTACACAGAAGGGGAACAGAGTCCGAATGCAAAGAGCAGTTAATGCGAGGCATGTTGCATGTGCAACACTGTTAAGTGGCAAGGAAACAACAACAGCAACAACAACGACAATAAATACAGGCCCACTTACGCGCTAAGCTCCACTGCTAATGGCCACTCAAAAGACACTCAAAGTTATTTAGTTGCGGCATTTAAACAAAGGCCCCTCATGCTCCCTCAACTCTTCCTATCTCTCTCTCTCTCTCTCTCTCTTTCCCTCCCTGTCTCTCTGCAACTACAACAAAGTTGTGTATGAACTGTATGCAGCAAACAACAATTGCGTAGCATGCAAATGAGTGGGTGGCTGCCGGGTGGCTGGGTGGTTGGGTGGCTGGATGGTGAGTGGGTCCACTGAAATAAGTTGCATTTAATGTCATTGTTGCAATATTTTTGTGCGGCGCTCGCTTGGAAATTTCCCTCTGCCATTTGTGCAAAGTGCAAAAATGCTTCCGTCTCCAGTTGAAAGTGCTGCGACTAAAGCATTCGTAGCACGCCAAGTCCCCTTGACCCACCCCCACCCCTCCCACGCACACACAAACACACATGCGATGACATTGCTTATTAGGCAGTCTGCTTCAAACTCTCAGCTCTGGCCTCTTCCTTTTACCCGCTCCCCCAGACACCCTCTCCCTCTCTCTCTCTCTCTCTCTGTCACTCTCTGTCTCGTATACCCTCACTCCTTTCGCTTTGCACTAACAAGTTTTGATACTAAACCCAGATTAGACCCTTGCGTTTTGCACTCGTAAAACTCGACATTTTATGACTTTTACCATTTCCTTTGCGCCCCACTCCCCACTCCTCGTCTCATTCCCCTTTCAGTCTCTCCATCCACAACTGTGCTTTTCCACTATAGCAGTATTCCTTATCCAGATTTTGTAGTTACTTTATAATTTTCATCTCGTTTTTAAGTTTTGCCCTGCACCGGCTGCCGTTTTCCCCACATTATTTTCCATATTTTTACAACATTCCATTTCCCTTCACTGCATTTCTTTGGCTCGTGTCCGGTTTTGTAGACATTTTCTTGGCCAAGTGTCAGGAAGTGACCTGTAACAACATAAGTTTTTCACTCGCAGTTAATGCTGAACTCCAATAGAAAGCACAAAAAATGTGGATTTCATAAAAAGTTTCATCATGACTTTCTGATTCCAGAACATGACAAAAAAAAAAATAGCTTTACATAGACTATGCATAAATAAAACACTAAAAATTTACGTATATGAGATTGGGTTTCATCCTACTAAAAGTTGGCTTAAAACTGAAAAACAAAAACGATATAGAAAAGTTGAAGCAGTTTTACTTAACGATATTGTTATTATTTTAGAAGAATAGCCAAGTTTTTAATGCTTTTTTGTTCTCTCTCTTTATGAGCAAAGAATTAAAGTGAGACACAGTCTAGGCTAAGTTAAAGAAATTATAGCCAGCTTAAATAATGTATTTTATTTTTGATTGTGTTCTCAGGATTTCTTGTCGCATATTTTACATATATAATATTATCCTAGAATACATTTTTAAGAATCGAGAATACATAATGCAAGCATATGTGAGCACAGCAAGGTACAGTGAACTCTGGCCTAACTAATGTTGGAGTCCACAAGCAGAAGTTTCCATTCAGCTGTCATATATAAATATTTGCCTTAATTACCAAGAATATGTTTCACAGCACCGTCTGCGGGCTGATTGCGTATTAAGTAGTCCCCCAGGTAAATAAATGACATGCATCCCAGGTGCGAAGATAACAGATAACAAGTAGCCAAGCAACACCTGGACATAATTACCCAGGCCCTGGACCCTGGACCCTGGACGAGCGAAGACAGGACAGGACAGGACGGGTTAGGACAGGACGGGCCAGGCCGAAATGTCTCGCAGCAGTAACATGTATATCGTTGTACGCACATATGTATGTGAGTGTGTATATGTATATATATGTATGCATATAGTGTATGTATTTGTGTGGACATGGGGCCAAGTGCAAACAGAAGTAATCTATTGTGCGAAGGCAATAAATTCAAAGGGTGAGGGGGGGATGCGTCCAGCGGGCAAACAAAAGGCACCAAGCACGTGACATTTATATGAAAGTGTAAACACATCATTTGAGCTATTATACAATGCACATTCCTGGCTGAGCGGGACACGGAGTGAGCAGGGCGCTGCTGCAACGTGACAGTGGCTGAAACTTTTTTCTCAAATCTATTTCCATTATGTGTGTGGGCTGTGAGATACTTGCGGAGCTCAGCAGAATAAGAAAACTTTCTAGATAAATGTGACATAAGACACTGGAGCAGGAAAGGACACGCACACAGTCGACCCAGGACGGAAGTGGCTCTGCAGCGAAAGCAGACGGCGGCGCACAGGAAGCAATCAGTAAGGACACTATCTGGGCTTAATTTCAATGGTCCTCCTGTGTTTGCCTAGCATCAGCTGCAGCTGCAACTATCCTGACTGTCTATCGAGCTGTCTGTCTCTCTCTTCCTCTCTCTCTCTCTCTCTCTCTCTCTTTCTGTCTCTCTTTCGCTGTCGGATAGTGTGCCCATTCATATATCCTTGCTGTGTGGACACTCATTCATTCGGGAGCAGCCATTCATCCGTTTGGCAGACAAACAGGCAGCCGCCTTATCTAATGTGAAAGGTTCATTGGTTTTACTTTTCTATCAAAGTAATAAGCTGGAAATGTTTCCACCCCACACACACACACACACAGCAAACGTTGACTAAAACAGCATGCAGTCCGAAAAGAGAAAAAAAAAATTAAAGGAGAACAGAATGGAAAAAGGAGCAGAGGAACCCAGCTGAAGACGTGGCCACTTTGAAGCAAAGTTTTGCTGGATTTCGAAAAATGCAATGAAATTGCACACACTTGTGTTTCCGCTTCGCATGTCAGAGCATGAAAGGGCATTTCAAGCACACACACAAAGAGAAAGGAGAGAGAGGGAGATACATATATGTATATATATATATATAGAGAGAGAGAGATGCGTACTCGTTGCAAACTGGCTTCATTGAGAACTCACCTGACGCAATGCTTGGCTTGTTATTGGACACACAGATTGAAATTGAAATACACGTTGCCACTTGGCACACTTCATTCAATTTACTGCAAATTGTTTTTGCATTGCGACAATTTCAGAGCATCGAATACGACAAGGGTCTTATAAAAATACAAAAACTGGCACCCCCCAGCTGCGTTTCGCACTCGTGTGCACATACTTTCCACTTAGAATAAATAAATACTCTTTATGTTCCATTATTGTATTTCTTGCAGCTAATGAAGTGTGTGTTCGCATTTTAATTGAGTAAAAGAAACTCTTCTTATATGAGTCTCTTTTTGGATGCAAATTATTCCATCTTGTATATTGCAAAAAAAAAAAATATATATATATATATCTATATACATAAAAATGCTATCTATTTATCTGAAATATTTTCATTTAATAATCACAACTAAATGAATTGAGTATAGCAACAGGGTTTTACTTAAATAAGCCATTGTTTCTGAATTGTGAATATCAAGTGCAAGTCCACAATCAGTTTCAGTCTATTGTAGGATTCTCTGCAGGTATATTTAGTTAATAATTTGAAAATAGGCTTAATTATTCTCATGCTTTGAGCGTGAAATAATTTGAGCCATAAATGCATACATGTCTACGTGCGATGTCTGAGCTGTCGCCCACATACGTAGACACGCCCACTCAGGCTAGAGGCATTGACGAGAATAGACATTTTGAAGTTATCAACTGGCTGCACACTGCTGACATTCACTGTGAATTCATTAGTATTCAGATGCCTAAGCGAACCACCGGGCACAATGCAATAATAATGATGAATGCTCTCATTAGGCTGAATTGATTTGATTTAATGTATTCATAAGCCTCTTGCATTGCAAATGCCGTTTTGAAATGAATATCAAGCCAATGCATATACTCGAAGCATCTCCTCATTGGGTGTCAAAGCGAGCAAATCCTCGTGATAGCGCACTTAACATAGATGACACACGATACCAGACAATTGAGCAGATGGATCCCATCAAAAATCAGTTTGAATTTGAAACTCATAATTACTTCTTTAGTTGGCCATATTTGGGTAATAGTTACCTGTCGACTGTGAGAATGTGGCCATCACGTAGACGAATCCAGGAAACGGATTTGTTGCCAAGCTGCTTAACCTGTGTGAAAAACAAATGGATTGAAGAAGTTAATAAAAATGTTTTAAAATGCTTTGGTATATTAAATATAATAAAAGTAAAAGTCTTCAAGCTCAATTTAAGGTATATTATATAAATTAGATATATTATTTACTTAAT